GTCCAAAACTAGAGACAGTATAGATTTAAGGTGAGAGGGGAAAGATTTAAAAGGGACCTAAGGGGCAACATTTTCATGGAGAGGGTGGTGTGTGTAAGGAATGAGCTGCCAGAGGTAGCGGTGAAGGAGTCTGGTACAATCACAGCATTTAAAAAAGGTATCTGGATGGGTATATGAATAGGAAAGGTTTAGAGGGATATGGGCCAAATGCTAGCAGATGGGACTAGATTAATTTAGAATATCTGGTTGGCATAGATGAGTTGGACCGACGAGTCTGTTTCCGTACTGTACATCTCTGTCTCTCTCTCTAAGATAATGGGAACTGTGGAATTCAAGGCAAAACTGGTAAAAGGCAAAAGGGTAATAGCTACACTTGTGGAGCCATTATCAGATTCCATTGTTAAGGTACAGCATTCAGTTTGGTACCCCAGGAAGAATATATTGGCCTTAGCGCGTGTATGGCAGCAATCCATCAAATGGATAAATTGCAATGTTGCATTGCTTGGCATATTTGCTAGATAGTTTAGAAGATTGAGGGGTATGAATTGTAAAACATCACAGGAGGAGATCAATCACCCAATAGCAGTCCTCCAAAACCCGTGACTAAATTTGCCTCGACCACTGTCTAAGGCAGCCCATCCAGATGCTAACAATAAAATGAAGAACTGGGGATGCTGTAGATCTGAAACCAAAACAAAAACTACTGCAAAAACATGGCAGGTCTGACCGCATCTGTGGGAAGAAAGCAGAGTTAATGTTTCGAGGCCAGTGACTCTTCTTCAGATCTTCCAGACGCTCACAACTTAATTTGTAAAAACAACTTCCCCCAAGATCACCTTCAGATTTTTTGACCCTTTTGCCAACTGGAAGATTTTCCCCCACCTCCGGTCTACTCTGTTCAGGCCCTTCACAATTTTAAGTAGCTCTATCAAATCTCTCTTCTAGAGAAGCTTCAATTTCTCCGCACATACAGTCTTCATCGATGCTCACTGACACCCAGTTAGGTTTTCACTTCGGCTGGTCAGCTTCTGATCTCATTAGAGCCCTAGTCGAAACATGGGCAAAACAGCTGAACTTCAGGGGTGAAGCGATAGTGACTGCCTGGACATCAAGGCAGTGTTTCACTAAGAATTCCAAATGTATATCAGGGAAAACACTCTGCTGGCTGGAATTTTTCCAAATATAAATTTAGAAATCCACAAACACCATTCCATAACCTCATGAAATATTTAAACACTCGATAGTCTGTCTACCATCTACAGAGGTATGTCAAAAGCATGATACAACAGTGCCCAGTTGCCTGGATCAGTGCAGCTGCAATAACACGAGACACTTGACACCATCTGCTTAACTGGCACCACACCCTCAAAACATCCACACCCTCCAGCACTGACACTCTTCAGCAGCAGTGTGAACTATCTAAAAGATGCACTGCAGAAATTCACCAAGGGTCTTTAAGCAGCAGCTTCCAAACCTCTTCTGTCTGGATGGAATTACCATCCTAACTTGGAAATAGATAGCCGCTCCTTCAGTGTCACTGGGGCAAAATCCTGGAATTTCCTCCCAAATGACATTATGAGTTTGCCCACAGAACATGGACGGTAGTGGCTCAAGGCTCACTTCACCATCACCACCTTCTCAAAGCAACTAGGCTTGGACAATAAATACTGGCCCAGCCAGTGAAACCCATATCCCATTCATGGGAAAAAAAGTGTTTGACCTTTTATGTGCTACTCTTCCTCCCATTCTATTTATGCTACTTTTTCTATTTGTACATTCTGTCCCTTCTTTTTCTGCTCTGGGTATTGTTATCCAAACAGCTGCCCTGTAAGGCTGCCTGACCCTCTTGCAACGTGAGCCGACAACGGTCTTTGTTAGTTCGAAGAGAGAAAAACACTGGAGACCTAAACAGAATAAAAGATCACTTTACTTTTAAAGACTATATACATTCATCAGTCCTGTTGGCCAACCAGTTTCATTCCTAGGACTCATATCATGCTGTTGTTTGTAATGTCTCTCTGTTGTTGGTAATGTCACTCTGTTGTTGGTAATGTCACTCTGTTGTTGGTAATGTCACTCTGTTGTTGGTAATGTCACTCTGTTGTTGGTTTCACTGCCAGTCAGCCTCTCAATCCACATCTTTTATTCCCTCCCACTCATGTCTCATTCTGGAGACTTTACTTTTTGCAGTAAACATGAGTTAAAGCACCTCTGTCCCCCTTTGCACCAAATTCCCACTTTTTCAACAGAATATTCAAGGTACTGTGCACGTTACTGTTCACCTTATTTAAGGAAGGATATAAATGAATTGGAAGCAGTTCAGAGAAGGTTTACCAAACTAAAACCTGGGATGGGCAGCTTGTCCTATGAGGAAAGGTTAGACGGGATATGGTTGTAATGACTGGCGTTCAGAAGAGCAAGAGACAACTTGACAGAAATGCACATAAAAGGTCAGAAAATGAGAGGATACAGATTTAAAGTGATAACAAATTTGAGAAAAATCTTGTTCTGACAGAATGCACTGTCTATAAATATGGTGAAGGCAGGTTAAGTTGAGACATTCAAGAGGGCATTGGATAATTATTTAATGAGAAACAATGGGTTTCAAGGGTATGGCAAAAAGGTGGGCAAATAGCATCAAGTGAAAAGGATCAAAGGCTAAGTGCAGACAACGGGCCAAATGGCCGACTTCTACACTGAAACATTTCTGTGATTGTGAATTTCTTGAAATTTGTTCCTTGATATCTTTCCTATCTTGAATACACCCAGCAGCGTGATCACACCTCTGTTGCTTCTTAACTCTAACCAAATGGGATTCTGCGCTTGCATTCCAAAAGACAGTGGCCACTCCATTTCTACTGTCGGATCTACACAAAAAGGGTGGTGTGTGCCTGGAACGTGCCTGCTAGAGGGTGGGGGGCAGAAGCAAACACAACAGCAGCATTCAAGAAGCACCAGAAGAATACATGAAATAGGAAGGGAAAAGAGGGATACAGATCCTGTAAGTGAAAGCAGTTTTAGTATGGCAGGGCAAAATGTGTCAGTGCAGGCTTGGAGGGCCGAAGGGCCTGCTGCTGTGCTGTATTGTTCTTTGTTCGACTCGTGTATTAACTCGAATACCTTGCAATTAAAATCAAAAATAATTTATTATCAATTGTATTTTCAATAAAAAGTGAAAAAGTGTAAACTTACCATGCTCTGGCAACTATATTAAGAACAGATACACATAAAAGAAATTAAGACAAAGTCCATCTTTGTTCAATTCATGGCTCTTGGCTTTGCAAGGTCCTCAAATATTGTCCTGGCCCATTCTGCACGCCACCATGTTGTAGTTACTGAATTGACACTTTTCTCGAAAAATATTTGTCTGTACATTCACAGTAGCCAGATTTTCCAAGAGAAAATGATTAAAATGCTATTTGAGCCTCAGAAAAGTGCACTTAGCAGGCTTGCACATGCTGGTGTGTGGTTGAGAATCAAAGTCCAGGCCTTTGCTTGGATGAAGAGTATTAAATCAAAAGGAAACAACTTCTACAGTTGTTTCATTGCCAATATACCTGAAACAAAATTATGAAGAAGCAAATCAGTCCAATGTTCTTCTAAGCTAGACTTCCCATCTCCCACACTCCACAAACCCATAACCAAATGCACTCAAAGTGCGTGTGTCAACATACATTGGTTCCTGGCCCTGCAACGTCTTGATTTTAAAATGGTCATCCTCCTGGTCCTTCTTGTGCAAGATGGCAGCTGAGTGACAGGATTGCGTGCTGGCTCTTGCCTGGGGCCCATCCATTCCCACTTGCTTCCTGTCATTTACTTTTGCTTCTGCTCTGACCTTTTGCTTTATTTTCCTTTTCTTTTAGTCTTTCTTTTCCTTCTTTTGTGGCGGGCTGGTTGGCAGCACTGGTGCAGCAGTGAGAGCGAGCTGCATTTGCAGCGGACGACGTGGATTCTCCTGGCAATAGGAGGCAGCAGCAGTGAGGGAGGATGTTCTCCCTGCAATAGGAAGGGGTGGCACACAAGGTCGTTCTCCTACCACTCGGGGCCAGCGGCAGCAGTAGCAAAGGTTATTATCCTGGAGTTTGGGACTGGCAGCAGCAAAACGATCGGTACTGGCAGCAGTGGACTCTTCAAGATGGCAGCACCAGCAAGGGGACATCTGCAGCCAAAGTGAGACAGCCTGGAACCAGGGACTTTGGGTCACAGAGTGAGTGTGGGTTCAGTGGTGTCAGCCAAGCGGGCCCATCGGCGAAGAGATGGTGCCTAAAGTGGGACGACTCCTAGTTGGTGGGTCCAGCAAAGCAGAGGTCTCTTTTAAGACTAGGTTCCGGCATGGACTGGGTCAGAAAGACTGATATTCTGAATTTTTTTGCTTTATCTTCCTAATTTATTCCTATGACCTATAATGGTGGACTATTTATTTCTTTACCTTTCGAATTTCTTTTGTTCCCTACAAATTTGTTCTTGAGTATCTGTACCTCGGTACCTTTGTACCGAAGATGGCGCTGTAATGTGGCAACTGTACACTTTTCATTGCACTCATTTGAGTACATGTGACAATAAAGTTAATTCAATTCATTGGCCTTCCTGTCTAACCTTGAATTCCTGTCTCGCCACTACAGCTGTGCATTCAGCCATTTAAGCCCCAAGTTTGGAAATTCTCTCTCCAAACTTCCTTCAAGAGGTTGCCTAAAACCCAATACTTTGACTTAGTGTTTGGTCAGCTGCTTTGATTTGGTGTCAATATTTGCCCAACTGCACTTCTTGGGGTACCTGACTTCCCTCAGGTGCTGTATGTTAAAGTCCAGCTGGAATTATGAAAAAGTCAAACTCAGCAGTAGCTCCACAGTCAGGAACTGGAGTCTGGTAAGGAATCACTGACCAACATGCATATAATTCTCAGTTCAGCAGAGTTATCAGATAACATAAATCCCAGTTCGCTTGCATTGCATTCCCTCCAAAATGTCAAAGTGAAGAACAGAACTTGAAGAACAACAAACTTAAACAGTTGCATATTTATTTTTATTTGGACAAGTACAGAACAACTTGTATCACAACAGCTTTTTATGACATGATCAACAATGGGCACTTGAGTGCTCACAGATATGTACATATAAAAAAGGTGCAGCATTCAGCCGATCATGATAAAAAGTTAAAATACCTGAATTTTCTGACTTAAAGCTTGTGTGCTACTCCAATTCAAAATATACTCTGCAGGACATGACCAGCATGAAACAGATATAAGTACACAGCAGCACTCTGCATAACACACAGAAATATGCTGTACTTTTAAAATCATTTGAATACTTTGTAGTGTTGGTGCTGAGCCTGACCCCGAGAGTTCCCACTGCACACATTTGAAATCACACAGAAATCTGACCATTTACCACACTTTGCAGCATGTAACATTAGATTATCTGTGAGAGGAAACATCCTATTTTCTGAAAAGAGAAAGAAGTCCAAAATCCACATGTGCAATGGATCATCTCATTTGATCCTGGTGGCAGGGAAGTTTGGTGGAGGAGTTGGGGGGGCATGGTTAAGAGAAAGATAAAAGTCAACTGGTTTGATTGTTAATGTTTTTGGAGCCAAATCAGCTGAAGAACACAACATTTTTCGGAGGACTATTGCCTGGAATGAGTTCAGTTTGTCCAAGGCAATACTGAGACTTCATAAACTAAAAAATGTGGCAAATTCATAAAATACAAACTGAAAAGATAAGTATTTATTAAACATAGAAGATATGTGGATGCTGGACTTCTTTCAAGAAAAATGGAGACTATTGTTAATCCATTGTTTGTCTTTTATATTCATTCAATCTCCAAACACACATACACTAGCGCCAGAACTGAGATGGATTCTGAAGACTTGCCAATGTAGGCTGATCTGCAACAGCAGTCTCAGATCACAATCAATCATTTACCCTGTTACAGATGGAGAGGTTAGAAAGGTCATTCCTCAAATGGGGTTTACAGCAAGAAACATTTATCCTTCAGGTGGACACTAGAGAATTCTCATGATAGCTCATGGAGCAGCCAGTGTACAAGTAGAATACAAACTCCATTTCAAGGCATTTGTTACTACAAAATCCACTGAATAATGTGCCAAAAATTCTGCAGAAACTTGTTTAACCAATGGTCTCTCCTCCTGGACTAATGGGAATCTCTCATGTCATTTACATATTGTATCCAGGATACCCTATGAATGCGATAGCTTTGTTACATTAAAATTTAGAACAGGCCTATTACTTGGAAAAGACTAGCAAAAGTGGAAGACAGATTGAAATGTATACTAATTACCAGAAGCCATTCATTACAAATGTTAAAACTGAGGTGACATTAATTAATCATGGACCAAAGAATTCAAATCAACAGAGAGAGACTTCATTGGCTGCCACTAAGGCACAAAGACCATCAGCTTGAAGAAGATGGTAGGATTGTTAACTCAGAAGATTGAGTTTTTATAGATGGTAGTTAGTTGATTGAAATGTCCTCACATTGCAAAGATCTTTGAAAAAACATTATCCCATGGTGATTATCCAGCATACCTTCTGTGTCTCTATTCCCCTCACCTAGCAAGATAGCAGATAATTGTTTTTATAGGTAGAGTATATGAGAAATAAAAGGTGCCTTGTGTGATTTAAAAGTGGAGTCAGATGTGTAAATTTATATAGATGTAAAGTTATTTGCACACCAGATAGTGCAAGATTTCATACTTTGAGTTCAGTCAGATCCACCTCACTGAGGTATAAATTCTAGATCAATTTGGCAAGGTCTGCACACCTCTACTAACAGCCACCATTAACCCTTGCATGTGTTTTCACTTCTGTCCAGCAATGAGGAATTTGTTAACAAAAAAAGTACTCAAAAGCATTAAGTATATATTATGTATGCATTTTGTTGCCCTTTTGCTTCTATAATTCGGTCAATTCCTGTGCAATATAGTTAGAACAAAAACCATTAGTAAGGATGAATGAGGTGGTAAGGAAGTGAGTCAAAGCAGAACAGTGGCAGCCATTTTCTCATACCCGCGAGGCTGAAATTTGCTGTAGTATGAATGGACAAGCTTCAAGACCACATTACAATCCCACTGTCTGTGTTCGAACTAAATGAGGTATAACTAATCCATTTAGGTAAAAATACCCTTGACATAACTAGCACAGTTGAGAAGAACTTTTCAGAATGAGTACATGAAAGTTCTCATACAGTATTAACAAGTACACATTAACTTGTCAGGATCTTATTCTTTGCAAATGCAATTAAATGTTGTTTATAGACAAGAATTGTCAGTAACATTCTAATAACTTTTCTGGAAGGAATGATTAGGTTTGAAATGGCAATCCCTCCTCCATTAAGGCGGCTCCAGTTGTTCAAGTTTGTTAGCTTTAAGAATACAGGAGTTTAAGGCTTCGGTGGTAAAATCCTCTGAGAACTTTTCAGTGGTCAAGGTATGAAAACTAAGTCACGGCCACACGACTAGTAATAGTCTAAATGAATCTCAGTGTAATCAAGAGCCACAAGGCAGGTCACCACAATCATAAAATGCCATCGTTCAGTGTAGAGAACAGATATCTCGCCGTATTCTAGAGCACTCACCCAGTACATTCCAGCTGATACACAGTTAATGCACTCATCAGTGACTTGGTTTGATCAGTCCAATGGTGCATGAAACAACAGCCTGTTTTAATAAGTGGAAGAAGCAGTACTCATTGAATCATCGCCAAGCTTTGTACTGCTGGGGTATATGCTAGCAAAGTATCGGACATCCCGGTCTCGATCAGCCTGCAGTGCCACAGCGATTTGCTCTATGGCCTCCTGGTGAGAACTGCCTGAGTTCATGAAGTATTCTGTAAGAAATAAGGAGATGAACTGAACTGGTAGGATAACCTTTATTTTACCTCCTAACCCCCATAAATACATCTCAGCCAAGGGCTCTAAACTGCAACAAATGGAAAAAGATGCACCTTGAGTATAAATGTTCCAACCTTTGGAAAATAAAGAGTCTCCTTTTAAATTCTACAAGATCACCAAATGTTTTCAGAAATAAAGTATCAACTCGTAGTTGTCCCTTGTTTCTGTAAATGAAATGGGCATTAATATAAAGTATCAGCCTACTTTCCTTCTTTTTCCTTTTTTTAAACGCCCCAAAATTTAAAAGTGTCAGAGGGTGGTTGGCTTCCAGAACACTCAACATTTAACAAGTACTTACGAGAACAAGAAGCACTATAGCAGGTTATGGACCAGGTACTGGGAGATTAAAGTTGGCAGGTGCTTAATGGTTAGCATGGTTAGTTCCCATGCTGTAATACACTACGGTTAGTGTATCTTTCACCCTCTTGCTTAACAAAGGATCTATGTTCTGCTACCATATGAAAGAGAACTTTGCTTCCACCAGCTTTTCAGAAAGTGTTCCAAAGAATCATGACTGTCAGAAGATCTCTTACATCATCGATGTTTTAAATGGGCCACCATTATTTATTTTTTTTTTTTAAAAAAAAGTGAGCCCAGATTCTAGATCCTCCCATTGGAGGAAACATTGTTTCCACACCTACCTTGACAAAACTTGGGATATTTACTGAGATTTACTTATCTGAATTAGGTTTTGGTAGTGGAATTGGAGATAACAATTTGGGACACACAAAACACAGAATTACTGAATCATTCCAAAACAATCCGACCAGTTATGTTCATGCGAGTTTTCCACAAGAACAATTTCCCTGGACACATTTTTCTAATAGGCTAATTTTGTCTCCTCTTCATATCATTATGAAATTCTTTTTCGAAAGCCCTTGACTGACACCACCTCCACCACACACAGGCAGAGCATTCCAGATCCCACTCACTCACAGCATGGAAATGTTTTTCTCATGTTGCCACTGCTTCTTTTGCTGATCACCTTGAATCGGTGTCCTCTGGTTCTTGATCCATTTGCCAACAGGAATAGTTTCTCTTGTACTGTGTTTGGATCCTCATAATTTTGAGTACCTCTAACTAATTTCTTCTCCTCCAAGGAGAACAGTCCCATTTCTCCAATCTATCAACATAGCTGAAGTTCTTCATATTTGGAGCCAGGAAATTTTTCTGCACCTTGTCGAATGCTTTCACATCCTTCCTGAAGTGTAGAGGCCAGAACTAGATGCTAAACACCAGCAGAGGCTGAAACAGTGCATGTACAGGTTCATCATAACTCCCTTGCTTCTACATCCAATTTATAAGGCCAAATTTCTATAAGCTCTAGTAACAACTTTCTCAACCTGCCCTGTGACCTGAGTATTAAAATTCCCCCAAGTCCCTTTTATTCTGCATCTCCTACAGAATGCACTCTCTATCGTATATTGTATATCCTTATTCATTCTGCCAAATTAAGTACTTCATACTTTTGCTGCATTTAAATTTAAGCTGCCACTATCCACCCATTCCATGATCCCACCAATATCCTATTGATATCCATCAGCATTCACCTTACAGTTCACAATGCTTCCAAGTTTTGTATTACCTTAAAATTCTGAAGTTGTGTTTTGTATATGTCTCGATAAAATATCAAGGAAAGTTGAAGTCCTAAAACTGGCCTCTGTGGAAGCCCATTATGTAATTTCCTCCAGTCCCAAAGACTGGAAAGTGGAGTTGAGAGTTGTCAGCTGTTATTCAGGCAATTTTGCATCCAAGCTGCAACTATTCCTTTCATTCCACGGGTCATAAATGCTTTTTCAAACTTGTATGGGGCACATTCTCAAATACCTTTGAGGTTCAAGTAGTCACATTAATGGAATTACTTTCATCATTAACACCACCTATTACCTCATCAAAAAGAAAATTAAACGCGATCTGTCCTTAACAAATCTGTGTTGGCTTTTCTTAGTCCACATTTTTAATGTTGTCCTGAATTATTGTTTCCAAAAAATTTCTGACCAAGGTCAAACTGACTGGCCTGTAGTTGTTTATTTCTGAACAAAAATGTGACATTTTTAATTCTCCAGTCCTCTGCAAGCTCCTCCCAAGAACAGAGAGAATAAGTAGAGCATGCTTATTTGACAACTAACAAATTTGAGCCCATCCAATATTTCAGTTACCTCCTCACTCATTTTATTGCGGGCAGCATTTTCATTCTCTACAAAACACAAATATTCATTTAATACCTCAGCCTTGCCCTCTTATTTATGCATAAATTTAAACTGTCCACACTCCAATTTTTATAATTTATATTTATTTAAAACAACCTGTTCAGACATGTGGGCAGATGGGACTTACACCCAGATCTTCTTGATTAGCAGTAGGGAAACTACTGTCTTCAAAGGCTGTATTTTGTTCTCTTAAGAGTTTTGCTTGCCAATACTGAAAATTTGCCCTCCCTCAGTTACTTGAATCTGGCGTGCTCTGAGCTTTTCTAAGCTCACTCAAACCTTTTGATGCAATGGACACTGTTCCCTAAGTGTTCCTTTACTGATAGTTGATTCAATACATTCCCACTAATCAGTACCAGAATATCTCCTTTCTTGTGATTTGAAACACACTGATGTAGTAAATTCTTCCAGAAAAAACATAGAAATTCTTACCTCTCTGCACCTGCCACCCCCAACACTATCCCTATCCCTATCCCAGTCACCCGTTATAACGACAATTTCGGCACTTCTCCAACTTCCTTGAAAATTTGTTTTATTATAATTTTTCAAACCGGCTGGTGACCTATATGTAGAATATCCACTCATATAACCAGTAAATTTAATCTAGATCTTATTATTTAAAATTTACTATTTAAAAACATATGCTTTTGAGGATTTTTTTTACTAGAGAGACAGAAATAGCAAAAGATCTCACCTTTTTCCAATAGAGTTTGTCTCAAAGTTTTTGCTAATAACACTCTGACATTTGGAACAGGATCAGATGCTAACTGTAGTAAGTGTGGCATCAAGTGCTCAGTAAACTGTTCCACAGGAATATAATCATCTTCAAGCACAGCCTGCATTTAAATGTGTAGAGAAATGCATCCTTTAATGTACAATGTTTATGAAAACAAAGTTCAGACTGTTATTAACAACTGAAAGCTTACAGGTTCTATAGCACTAAATTGTAATTTTATCACAGCAAGCACCCTCTGTTGAGGGTACCTGGTTGAAAACTTGGTAATCAAGTATACTTGTACTGTATAGCCTCAGACGCAACCTGGTGATGCTCAATGAACAGGAACCACATTTTCCACAGTACCTGGCGCACTTTTAGGTTCATCATAAGCAATTGAGAGGAGATTTCTCTACCAGAAAACATCAAAACTGGCTTGATGAGTGGAATCAAGAGAGACAAGAGCTACTGAATCACAAGAAAAGGCCCTCCTGAACTGGAAGCACAAACAAAACTTGAAGGAAAGAAAGCAAGTCTTTAGACAAATGAATGCAGGGGTCCAACAAGAAACTGAAAGATAAAGAACGGATGGTGGGTGGGAAAAGCTCAGGGAATTCAGCAACTCATTGACAGTCATGACATTAAGAAGCAGCAGGAGTAGGCCAGCCAGCTCTCATGCCTGCTCCACAATTTAAGATCACAGCTGACCCGACTGCAATTTCAAATTCAAAATCTGCCTACTCTCCTTGCTCATCAAGAATCTGTCTACTTCTGCCTTAAAAATATTCAAAGGCCCTGCTTCCACCACTTTTCCAAAGACTCTCCACCCTCAAAAAAAACTCCCCTGGTGGGTGTTAAATTGTGGCACCTTATTGGGCATATATGGATTCTTCAGCAGCCAAGACCACCCACAGCCCAAGCACCCATGCACGTAGCTACTTCGGGTGAGTAACAAGTGAGTAACCCAGGACAGAGAGCGTGGCAGCATTTGCTGGAAGGAGGATATTGCTGATCTCAATACAAGTGCCTTCAACCATGTCCCACATCACGCTGTGCACCGCCACCTCAGCACAACTCCAATCTGACAGGTTGGCAAGGCCCTCGACAAATGACTGCTAGCCAGGTCACTGGTGCAGGGGGGATTCCTGCTGAAATACAGTGGACAAGTGTTTCTGGGACCAGTACATGACCTCATCTTCCTCATCAGAGGGGAGAACATGGCAAGGAGCCCAAATAGCACAACTGTAGCCATTTTCAAAGAAAGGGGATGACCGACTGCATTTTTTACTGAGAGTGGGCTGGTGCTGGTGAGGAGGCGGAAGAGATCCAATAACAATTCAAAGAGAATTAGGCCATTTGACCCGTTGAATGTTCTCTGCCAATCGATAATAGCGATATGTTTCTCAACCCCATCCTCCTGCCTTCACGTAACCCTTGATTCTATTACTAATCAAGAACCTATCTCCCCGTCGTAAATCCACTCAAAGGTGTGGGCTCCACAGCCCTTTGTGACAATGAATTCCACAGAGTCACCACCCCCTGGCTGAAGAAATTCTTCCTTATCTCAGTTCTAAAGGGTAACCCCTGGACTCTGGATACCTTCAACAATAGCACACACTTCATTAGAAATGTGGTCCAAAAAAGTGCTCACAGCATTCCAAATGCAGTCTGACCAGAACCTTTTACAGCCTTAGCAGTATATCTCTGTTCTTGTATTCTAGTCCTCTGGAAATGAAATCTGTCAAAATTCACACGACACCAGGTTATAGTCCAACAGGTTTATTTGAAATCACAAGCTTTCAGAGGTGTAGCCCCTTCGCTAGGCCAAGTGAGAGAGAAGCACTCAGAATTTATAGGCAGAAAGATCAAGGGCGCAGAAATGAAAAGATCATACAAATGGTGTACGAGTGGAGTGTCAAATAATAATTCTCTGCAGGTAATCAAAAATGTTTGACAATGAGAGTAAAGTGTCAACAACTGAAATAACAAGTGAAGGGATGACCTATAATCCTATATATATGTGGCCCCCACCACTTTGTTCTGTATCTGTAATATCTTCCTTACTGTCCTGTTTTGATAAATAATGATCTCTGTACCTTAATTAGTTTGTACAGTTTTGAATTACTTATTACTTTGGTTGGACCCTCAGCATGCGACTCTTACACCTATCATGGTATTCTAATCATTTGGTTTGTCTCCAGCACCACTTAATTTTTAATATTTTGTAATTGTCTTTCTGACTCCTTTAAATCGGATTATAGGACATCCCTTTGCTGGTTATTCAGCTATTGACACTTTACTCACACTGTCAAACATTTTTGATTACCTGCAGAGAATTATTATTTGAGACTCCACTCACATCATTTGTATGATCTTTTGATTTCTGTGCCCTTGATCTTTCTGCCTATAAATTGTGTTCTACGTGCTTCTGTCACTTCACCTGATAAAGGGCTATGCCCTGAAAGCTTGTGATTTCAAATAAATTTGTTTCACTATAACCTGGTGTCATGTAACTTCAAACTTTGTCTACCTCAGTCCAACACCGGCACCGCCACATCATGGCTACCAAAATGAATGCTAACATTGCATTCGCCTTCCTAACTATAACAGAACTTGCATGTTAACCTTAAGAGAATTCTGAATTAGGACTCCCAAGTCCCTTTGTGTTTCAGATTTCCGAAGCCTTCCCCATTTAGAAAATAGTCTATGCCGCTGTTCTTACTGTCAAAGTGCATAACCTCACACCTTCCCACATTGTATTTCATCTGTCACTACTTTGCCCACTCTCCTAGCCTGTCCAAGTCCGTCTGCAGCCTCTCCACTTCCTCAACACTACCTGTCCCTCCACCCATCTTTGTGTCATCTGTAAACTTAATAACAATGACCTTAGTTCCATCATCCAGATTGTTTATATATAATGTGAATAGTTGTGGCCGCAACATAGACTCCTGTGGAGCTCCACTAGTCATGAGCTACCGTCCTGAAAACAATAACTATTTATTCCCAATCTCCTCCTTCTGCCAATTAGCCAATCCTCTATCAATACCAATACCTTGCCCCTAACACCTTCAAGCTCTTAACTTATTTAGCAACCTTCTGTGCAGGACCTTGGCAAAGGGCTTCTGGAAATTCAAACAGATCAGGTCCATTGGGTCTTCTTTGTCTAACTTGCTCATTACCTGCACAAAAGAATTCTAACAGATTTGTCAGGCATGACCTCCTCTTGATAAAGCCATGCTGACTCAGCCATATTTTACCATACACTTACAAGTACTCTGCAGACTCATCTTTAATAATGGACTCTAAAATCTTGACCATGGTCAAGCTAACAAGCCTATACTTCATGCCTTCTGCCTCCCTCCATTCTTAAATAGGGATGTTACATTAGCCACTTTCCAGACCTCTAGGACCCTCCCGATTCCAGTGATTTCTAAAAGGTCACCACCAATACCTCTAATCTCCTCAGCTATGTCATTCAGAACTCAGATGTAGTCCATCTGGTCCAGGTGATTTAACCACCTTCAGAATTTGAGGCTTCCCCAGAATCTTCCCCCGAGTAATAGGCTCACATTTGCTCCCTGTCTCGAAGTTCTGGTATGCTAATGTGTCTTCTTCTACTGTGAAAACTGATGCAAAGATGGACCATTCCAAAAATCCAAAAACTTGTTTTTTGGAATGGTCTTCCTGTAAAAAATCAAGTGCAGACAGCAGCACCAATGTTTAAAAGTGGCCTTCTTCAATTGCACAAATGTCTTTTGATTCTGTTAACTAGGAGGGATGATGGAACTCAAATTGTTGCCCTCAAATTTGGCTGCCTTGGAACTTTTTCACTACTGTGATCCTCACCAAGGGACTTGCCAGCACACAATACCTGCACAAATTGGCGTCAAGTGACAATGGTGTGGTGACAATGTTATTCTCCAAGTTTCTTGTCACAACACTCCACTTGATGAACTTTCTGATGTGGTGGAGCTTCCCTGTAGGACAAGCAGGAAACTGTTTAACCTGCAGCACCTTTTGTCTAAGACCAAGTCTAGCCATTGGGAGCATCCTTTCAATGAAGGAGATATCTACAATGAAATTCAACATTTCCAAAGACCTCAATCTTGACATTACGTTTGTAGACTGCAGAGATGTAGTCATATCTGCATTGCCACATGCATTACAGACATCGACAAGATACAGCAAACATCTCACACCTCTAGAGAAATATCATGAGTGTCTCTGCAAAATCCAGCAAATCCACTGCTAAGACGTTCCAATATTAGTAGCCTCCTTCAGGCCTAAACCCTCAAGTAGTACTAATTACAGCCAATCAGCTGTGCTGGACAGCCATATTGCTTGCATGCTTGACAAGACTTCCAAAACATGTTCAAGACCCTGGAGAAACTCTGTCTTCCTCCACTGTCATGTCATGTTTCGATCTTGGTTGACTTTGCTCTTAGTAGTAAGGACTCATTCTCTCCCTTTCACATCTCTTTTTTCCTTTCCCCACTAGTAACAACTCCTGTGTCCTTTGCATTGGGACTCTGGAATGTCTGACCTCTTAGTCTTCCTCTGCCTCAGTCAAAAGTATGAAAAAACAAATCTATTTTCCAACACCCTTCAGTTCTAAAGAAGAGTCATACCATACTCGAAATGTTAACGGTTTATTCTCTCCACAGATGCTGCTAGACCTGCTGAGTTTCTCTAGCATTCTGTCTTTGTTTCACATTTCCAGCATGTGCAACAGGATACAAGCTCTCAGCTCTGAGCTTCGTCTCACCAAGTGGTTACCCATGAGAACAGAGAACACAATTCAAGGATGTCCTCAAGGCTTCCACGAAAGAATGCCAAATCCCCACTGTGTCTTGCCCTAGACCACTCAGAAGAAGCACCTACAAGCAACAGTCTCCGACATCTCCATCACACCGAGGTGGAGGTCAAGCGGAAGCAGGAGCCAAAAAAACCTGAGCAACTCACTAATCCACCTCTTCAAACACTGCGAGTATATTCAACGGTAGTCATTTCAGGAACCACAACTATAGAGAGTGGAAGAAAGTAGTTCACAGTTCCGAGGGACTGCCTAAGAAACGATGCATGCACCTCAAAAATGATATGCTCAGGTATCAGTCACAGGAAGATTAGAGAAAATCTCCATAGCAACACTCCATGCATACTTGCGACTAATGTCTGTAATGCTAATGGACAGAAGTTACTGAGATTCGGTTCAGACATGATAGTTGAATTGCGTCCTGCACTAAGATGCTACAAATACTAGGACAGGGGAAGGTCTCAACCATACAACGATTTGTAATTATGGAATAAATGTATAAGTTCCGCAGTATTCCACGTACAAACAGATGAGGGAAATGTCAGGATGGGGCAACGCTGCTAGATGGGTTGCTTACCTGGCAGACAAAAACAAAGGCTTGACGACCTGACCACTTCACAGAATGGCAGAACTTATCAACAAGTTCATGAATGAGGTCAACTGCTAATGCAGGAGTTGCAGATGCATAGAATTTTCTAATCATCTCACCAACCTGGAGGAGAACACAGGAATCATCAATTATTAAAATGTTACTTTTTTTGCAAGAAATAAACATAATTCATAAAGCATTTGCTTGCGAAGGCTACGGGTTGGCAAATACTATACCAGATAAACAGGTTGTGGTCAGGGAAACAGCAGTGACAGGAAACACAGGTTTGCTACAGAAATTAGATTTTCATTTCTCAATAAGTTTATGCTTTTATTAGAAATTTAAGTCATCAGTGGACTATAAACTGCTTGAACTAACCTTAACCATCATTGCTGGGCAATATTCAGTCTTTGCGGTCACAAAATGAACCTACCCCCACTACAACCACAACTCCCCCTAAGTGAAATTAGTGCACTCAGTAGATACCAGAAATCATATCTAACACCTAGCCTGTATGCGTAGTAGAAAATGTGTTTTCTTATTGCATTACGAAACAGATTCTCAGTTACTTCTATCAGCATTTGTAAAACTTACCAATCGGTAGGCAATCCAGCGGACTGAAGAAACCTTATCGGCGCAGAGGCTGAGTGATATGGGTCGTAGGTAGTCATACACATCCTTAGGATTGTACAGTTCCAGCAGCAAAATCAATTGCCTAAAATGAAAACAAATGGAAACAGCCAAAGGCTACACAAGTGACACAAAAATGTATTCAACCTGCAAGCTAATCCACTGAGGTGAGGGTTGGGGGTGGGTGTAAAGAATCAGGAAAATGAACACTAACAGTAAAACCTGAAATAAGAACAACTGGCAAAGAGCACGGGAGGAAAAAAAATAAGGAACGTCATTATGCATTGCTTTAGTTCACATTCGTTGTTCAGCAAAAACTATTTTCCTTCTACAACAGCGTCTGCATTAATCTACAAATTGTAGAAACAAACAGGATGAAAGGTTATCTTCTGAGAAGTGATGGAACAGGTTAAGCTTGTATCTGCCAAAACTTAGAAGATTGAGATGTGATCTTATTGAAGCAAAATCCTGAGGGAACTATGGATGTTGACATGTTTCTCCATGAGTGAATCTAGAAACATGGCACAGTTTAATATTAAAAAGGTACCTCCCATTTATGGAAATGAAAATTGCATTCTCTCACAGGATCTTTATTACATGGAATTCTCTTCTCCAGAGTGCAGCAGAAGCTGGATCATTGAAAACTCTTAAAACTTGAATTAGATAAGATTTTTGATTGACGAGGGAGTCAAAGGGTATGGGGGTAGACTGGAAAGGAGAATTAAAGCCACAGTCCGATCAGGTGGAATCTTGTCAAATGGCAGGACAGGGTCTAGGGGACAGAATGGCCTACTCCTGGGCCCAATCATCGCTGCCAAAAGGTGTTCTGTTACAAGGAAACTCATGAACAAGGGGACTGCTTCACCCACTTGCCAGAAAGAAAAATAACCAGCCATCACCTTGTAGAAGATCCAACAAGGGACAGTGCAGTGCTGGCCCTAATGCTGGGGAATGAAGCTGGACAGTTTATCCAAGATAGCAATGGGAGTGCATTTTAGTGAGTGACCACAACACCGTACTTGTCAGGTTTGCTGTGGAAAAGGAAAAAGATGGTCAACTACGTCTGTCAGAAATTTCAGGACCGTAATTAAGAAAAAAGGGGCATCAAGTGAATTATAGCTACAGAAAATAAAGTTTAAATGATGTGTGCAATCAGCGTCAAATTAATAAATAATAAACAAATAACTACATTTGGGAGTATATCATAAAAAAGCTGCATTGAGATAGTCCTTGGTGATACCATCAGGATATTCAAAAAGCAAAAACTTCACAACCGTTGATAACACAGTATGGAGCTGGAGGAACACAACAGGCCAGGCAGCAGCGGGGGAGCAGGAAAGTTGACGTTTCGGGGCGGCACCCTTGGATCCTGCCCCGAAACGTC